TGTAGTGTCAGTTAGTTGGATATTGCCATCGCCGTTTTTTTGGAAAAAATTTCATCAAATGTCGACATTTTAGATCATTTTAAGCAACTTCTAAATAATAAAATTTTTCTGCCTGTGGGTACGTACCGTACGTACTATGTACAGTGTGGTCCAATTTCGATGGGATTAAATGGGTAATTTTCTTATTAGCGCAGATAAACTGAAAACGGTTTTAGTACTCGTGTCCTTATTTTTTATGCTTATTCCATTACCTTTGCCGGAAATAAGCTGCCGTCTTTTGCTTTTTCACTAGAGAGAAAAAGTGAAAAATGTTGAAGCTAGAACAAAATGGCTTTAGCATTATTCAAGCAGTTTTTAATGTAGATAACCAATGTCGTCAGTCGTTTGTTTCTAGACCTTTTAATAACCAACCTTTTATTTATTTATTATTGTCTTTATTTTATAGTGGGTGGAGTGTTAGCTAATTAGCTACTCTTTCCACAAAAAAACTTTTGTTATTATCTTTCAGGCAAGATGTATTAATAAGCAAAATTTATTGTAAAAAGCTTATTCTTGAAAATAAGTATGATAAATAAGTATGATGTATTATACATTTTAGGAAAGCTCGTAAAACAATAATTTTTTTTAAACCATGGTAAATTGTAACTTCAATTTAAAAAAATCAACTTTGAGTTACAACGCAGTTACTAAAAGAATTAGAAACAAACAAATCGTACAAAAGAAATAAGGCTGAATTTGTGTTTATGAACTTATAACATTAATCCGAATTATAATGGAATTTGGGATAAAATGGTTACCCAATTTTCGTGTATAATTAGTCGTAATGACAATTATCAGACTGAAGAACGGAACGAAGCCTGTGAATGCGGTATCTGTTTGCACAGCTTGCAATCTGTTTTATTTTAATAGATTTACTATTCTTAAATGTTTTCTATTTTTTTAATGGTAGAACCTAGATTTTAGCGCATTTTTAAACTTATGTTGGAAGGCGCAATTATGACCACTTTCTCCGTCCGTCCATGCGAGGGCGCCACTGCTTCTACAGCTTTCAATATATTTAGTTCGTTCTTCTTGAATTCGGTAGCTCTGTTACCTCATGACGATAAATGTGCGCATGCGCAATATCAATTTTCTTATTTATTAATATATTTTGTTGAAATTTTCACCACCTTTATAGTAAAGGCAAACATATCGCATATGGTAAAAATCAGGTGTACGCATGCGCAGACTGCACAATGCCCGCATCCTTTTTTTATAGATATTTTTTGGAAAATTTAACCACATTCTAGTAAAGGCAAACGTCCCATATTAGATATGCGCATGCGCAAACCGCTCAATAGTAACTTCCTTATTTTTAATTATAGATGCTTCTAATAACGAAAAACATAGGTCACATAACAATGGACTATGGAAGTCCCGAATAATGCATGAAAAATGCTCGCAATTTACTCGCCTTAGGTCCAAACCTCTTTACTTTTAACTTTTATGTCCACAGTAAGGTGCCTTTTCGGCTTCGCTCTCTTTTTTTATTACTCTCCCTTGAGCTACATCCAGGGGTGTATTTCCCACAAGGCGGACTAGTTGCGCGCCTAGAGCGGCAAATTCTAGGGGCGGTAAATTTTGGAGGAAACATTTTGACTATTCACCAGTTTTGGTTTTGTTTAGTAAGAAGCATGAAGCGTAGAGACCACAAATTTAAATATCTGATTGTTTGCTGATGAGCGGTAAATACGGCAACCAGGAAGAAAACAAGGAAAGGAGTATGTAGCGTTCTTTTCTTACCAATTGATATTCCAAATTTATATTCCTTATATACTTCGAATTTTACTCGTTGATTGTTGAGTGAGAAATAGCAAAGAGGCGCAACTATAATGTAAAATTGCGATACATATTCCCGAAGCTTTCCGTGCCCACAGTCCACAGTGGGAGGGGTGTGAGTGTGTTAGACGTGCAACTCTGATGCTTAAAGGCCACCCAACAACACAAACCGATTGAAAACCAATGAAAGAGCGTTGGACTATAATTCCGGAGGTCGGGTGTTCGAACCTGGATTGAGGTGAATTTTTCATCTGTGGCAGATACCTTAGACCAGTTGCGAGCATTCTGCCGGCTACTCTGAATGACGTTTTTCTGCAGTTTTCCTAATTCGTAAGGTAAATACCGGAGTAGTATAAAACAACTTAATACCTTCTCTGTAGAGGCACCTCTAAAAAGCACTATGCGGGTCACTCTGTAATTGGGCGTAAGCCTGTTGAGGGCCCAGAACAAGAGAGGAATAGTAAATAAATAAATAAACGTTGCTACATCTGCGGAAATCGATTATTCTTTACCAAATTGCCGATGTACTGAAGCATCTTGCAATAAGCCTCATCTAAATTAATCGAGTTGCACCTCTCTTTATATTTCTCACCCCACCTAGGTATTCCCTCTGTAAACCCGTTTAGTTTAGATGCCAGTCATTTCTATAGTATATTTGTTATTACCATAGTTCTTTGGTTCGCCACTAGAGGTCGTGATCTTCTTTTTTTCTACATACGCATGTCCTATACTTCTTCCTTTCAGAGACGATCTGGATCTGGGTTAATTGCGTGCAAATTTTTCTCGATACGCCATTACTTTTTACTTGTCTTTGTGTCAATCTGTTTTGGCTGTGAACATATTTCTATTGAGTGTTTTTTTCTATTTCTGATGTGCTGTGGCTGTGCTCCATTGAATACGCTTTGCAAGTAATTAGTGTGAGGTATGTACTTCAGCATTTTTCTTAATACGTTTTTTAGGGTTTTATCTTCCCTCAAGGTTCGCTCAAACTTCTCTCTTAACTTCTTATCATTTTCTCTTCTGGATTACGCAGAACGTGGATGACATCGCACTTTTACCCATAGAACAACAATTTACCTGGACCCGCCATCTTAGCGAAATTGACATTGGCAACGTCACGTGAGACGACATTACATAACCTACTTCGAACATTTACACCTGGAGATGTACGTAATTGTTCATTACTAACTGCAAGTATTTGCGAAACCTTTTGGAGAATATTAGCTTTCTATCTTTACACCATCATATTCTTTTTCTATGAATATCTTTACAATTCTTTCGGTGTCTAGAATATTATGGGTTTCCAACTTAGACAATACAGTACACGGACTGCTAATTAGCACAAAATGAGCACAAAATTATGGTAAAAAAAATTTTTGAAAATATCGATGTTGACACTCAAGCGTGAAGTTGGAGTGTCGTCAGAGAAAGTTGAATTACTCATTAACCTGATGAGCACAAAATTTTAAATTAGAAGCACAAATTAGCACAAAATGAGCACAAAATTATAGTAAAAGAAAATTTTGAAAATATCAATGTTGACACTCCAGCGTGAAGTTGGAGTGTCCTCAGAAAAAGTTGAATTACTCATTAAGCTGATGAGCACAAAATTTTAAATTAGCAGCACAAATTAGCACAAAATGAGCACAAAATTATGAGATACATGGGACTTAATTCCTTTCAAGTCGACACTCCAACTTCACGGACCCCGGATTTTGGTGAAATTTTTTTACGTGCCTCTCTGTACTTGCTGATGGTTTAGATTCCATTGGGTCAGATAGGAATCATATCCGTCAGTCTTGAGCGTACGAAGTCGCGGGGTAAAATGTAGTCATATTATACAGGGTGTTACATATAAGTATGTATAAAAAAATTGGGTGGTATGGAGGATCAAAATCAGAACTTTTTCCAAATAAACCGAGGGTCCAACGTGTTTCGTTTAGGAGCCACCCCCAAAAAAATGGTTTCGTACATTTTTTTCTCAGCAACGATAAGAGTTAGAAAGACTGGCGGCACGTCTTTGAATGGGTTTTCGGGTATGTCATTTTGCAAATTTTTTTTAAATTCCTACCACGAAAGCGCAGGACCCCAGACGTGCGAGAAAAAATTCTGGTTTCGTCTAAATTTGGTATCTGGAGGTTTTTGAACATGAAAATCACGAATCTGAAATTAGTTTTCGAAAATTCGACAAAAAATTCCACTGCAATTCTTAGCTGAATTGAAGTTTGGTCATTCGGGTCAGAAAGTGTCACTTTTTTTGTTTATACCATGCTGGTTTTTTCCATTTACTTGGAAATGGTAATCTACACTGAAAATCAGGAGGATGTGGCCTGCGTCATTGATTTGTGAATCAATTTCAGACATACTCTAAAACACTGTAACAGTGTAACATCTATCAACTGACAGGCTATGTGACGAACATTTGTTTAGACCAATCCATAATCAGAATCTGGTGGCGTATATAGACAAAATGACTGATAGTAGCAGAAATGTTTAAACTAACACTAATGCCTAATTTTTTATGGTCGTTTTAAATTTAAAACGGTCGATCTGTATAGTTGAACGTATACGTTATGGCAAATATTCTTCTGAGCACAATTGATTTTGAGCACCCAATAACACATTCTTATCGTTTTCAATACGACTAATTGCACACCCGCCGCGATTAGCATAAAGGGTGTGTGGAAGTGCAATTCTGACCTCATGTTGAGTACAAATAACTACAGTAGTACACGCTTTTATGTGTTTCCAGTTTATGTCTTAAAATTACATTCGTTTTACGTTTTCTTTTTATAGGCAATATAATCCAACGCCTATTTTGATCTCAGTACAGTTTTCATAAAAAAACAGGTCGATAGGAACCGAAACCGAACCGGAAAACGTTGACTTGTCATTGTCAGGTGCAAAGTATGCCAATAGCAAATTCAATTTAAAAAAGAGCTCTTTACGGTCTACAGACTTCATTAAAACGTTCTCGCTATACTCGTAATAAAGTTGTAATTACTGAGAGTTGTTTTTTTTATTAATTTTTTAGATCCATGTAAAGCAAGCATCTTTTACCAAAGGACTTTAAATTAAGAAAAAAGTGAAGAATTTAATTTCGATACTGTACGTTTATATTATTTATACAATTGGCGAGAAAAGCAAATACGCTTATTAGATTTATAAGTCTCGTACAACGAGAATTTAAATTATATGTAAAGTAATAATAATAAAGTTAATTAACCTGTTCGGTTTGAAGAAATCTATTTCAAGTAAATCGAAGATTGCGCGGGAAAATCTGACCGTGGAAGAGAAAACAAGTCCTCAGTCGGAAGGGCAGCAGTACGAATGGAAGAAGTTGGTCGGATCTATAAGACGTCGAGTGCAACGTCATAGCTCCACGTCCGGTACTGTGGAATTATCGCCTACTAGCGAACCGGCGACTAGTACCAGAAAAAATTCCCTGACCCGTAGTAAATTCGATGTGTTTAAATGGGATAAAAACAAAGACGACGCTCAAGGCGTATTGGAAAAGGGTAAGAAAGAAGAGGGGGGCGAACGGAGGGAAGCGCGCAAAGCGTTCTCGTTGACCAAGCAAAAGAGTATCGGGTCAGAGTTGCCCATTAGGAATTTTAAATCGACGACGTTCAAGGCGTTGAGCTTTCGCGACAAACCGAAAAGTTCGTCGGTGAAAAACATTGACAGTTTGGTGTCGCCAAAATCGTGCAAGTCGAGTTTCACGTTATGCAAAGGTGTGCGGAAGAAGGAGGTGACTATTGACAAAATGCAGAAATGCATTACAAAACTTAAAAGTAATAATGAACAAATTAAGAAAAGCGTAGGCATCTGCCAGAAGCTTAGAGAAGATAGAAATGTCAACAGGGATGATTTCTTGAAGGCCACCATGAGAATTTTTCTTGTTGTTTCTCCACCGGTGGGAAAAATGCAGGTAAATAATTGCTATATCTTATAGTTATGTAAGACTGTATCTCAAAGTTACTAATATGAATGGGCGTCTCCATTGCGGAACCTGTTCTATGATTTATCTGTGCATAAAATCTCCAACATTTTTATCCTCCATTTTCAGTCTGATTGCTAAAAATGTTTGTAAACTTTGTATCTATATACATTTAATTAAATGATCAAGGTGGCCAAAACTGTCCATTGATATAGTGCATCTGCCTGTCACTCTCCAATGCAGATTTAGTTAAAATCATTTACCTTCATAATCTCGAAAACGTTCAACATCTATGGTTTACCTCAAAAACATTGTATGTCAGGTTTCCCTTTATACATACATCAAGGTGCTCACCTTCCCGGTGTAATCTGACTGCATTTGTTGACTTTCTCACCCAGGTCAATGCGCGCTTCGATTATTTATGAATATCGCCCCACGTATAATCTTTAAACGTTATACTACGTTATTTCACCCTTTAGAGAACATGAATAAAAATTTCAGACCTTTCGCACAATAACTTGACATTTCTCGAATTGCCTTTTTGTTGTTTAAAACTGTCGTTGAAGAAACTAAACAACTAATTAAAATGTTTCACATCGAAAATCTTCCTTGAAGTGATCTGTGATCTCCTCGTTCGCCGAAAGATTTCGTCTATTTTTCAAACTCTGAATAATCCCCTCTTTAATTTCTGTGTAAATATTATACATCCACAAATGGCGACATATCTTCAAAATGGCGATATCTAAATTTTCTGTTGGTTAGTATCTTTTGTACTACCAATCACAGGTGGTTTTAAGGTTGTTAATCTCTCCTAGAACAGGCTGACTCAAAAATGTCTACTTTTACTTCACTTATCAAGACATGTAACTTTATGTACTTATTAAAAAGGACGTAATTTAACCCAACAGGCAGACATCGAGACACTTCAACTCATTAAAGAACAAACTCCCATTGAAAACCAACTGTATAAAATGATGCAGATCCTACGGACCTACAATCGTCAAAATGATGAAAAACTATGAACTTTCTGCACCCAGAAAAAAATGCACTTTACGTATTTTTGGGAAAAACTTAAATTCAAAATAAAAGCTACTGTCGCATGTCCTATGAGTCGGATTCAGGATCAGAACTAATATTCATTTAAATGTTTGTCATATCATATCGATTTTGAATGTGCCGAAGATAATCGTTTAAAAATGATTAATTGTATCGTAGGCATTGTTAGAACATATGGCCGACAACCAGAAAGTAATAGCTCATGCTCAAATAGAAATTTCGTTGACATCGGAGTTTTGCATCCCCATTTAAGTGTGGGTTATTTTGGAATCGAAATTTTTTATAAGCCAGAAATGGCACCTACTTTAATTCCATCCTCACATGTGTTATGGCTGCTTATAAAAATTAAAGGAGATTTTGAGGCGAGCTCGTTTTGGACTTGTCACTTAAGGCTCATGATAACGTTTTAGGATTGAAATTGGAAAAAACGATCTCAAATTTGCAGTTAGGACTTTATTCCCAATATTGAACCGATCTAGAATTAAGATCGGATTTTAAACATTCGAGTTACTGATTTCTCATTTACAGGCTAAAATAGAATTTCTAAATGTCATTTACACCTCAGGAGTAACAAAATTTGAAATTGAAGGTAACTAGGCCTCTGGAAAAATCGTCATAAATTGTATTCCAACCTGCTCTTCAGCAGCAATTTTTTATAATGTATTTAAGACACGGCGTTTATTTCTCGTTAAAGAACGATTTCCATGAGCCTCTAAACGTGTAATAAAAAATTTAAACATTCCTTACCATGCTGAAGTTTGGCCTTGTATTTCTCTTTAAATCTGAAATGAAACTCTTATTGCATGCTAGATTTCAGCATACATTCTACTACTATTTAAGATATTCACACACGTCTGAATGCTAAACAACATTTTAATCCAACCAAAGGAATGGTATCACTGAAATTAAATGCAAATTCCCAAGTAATAAATAACGAAAGTCATTTGTCTGGATTCGCTAAATCTCTACCATTCAATTGATTTTTACAGGTCGGTTCCTTTAGGAATATTATGATTATCTTGAATAAAATGTTGTGATGAGACTGAGATTTCCGTCATGTTACGATTGATATTGATAGCTTAGAAATATGGAAAACAAATCGCTTCGTGACAGTATGTCTGACTTTCGGCACCACCCTGGTAATCTCAGCTTCTTTTGAGTAGAAATGTTGGTACAAAGTTGTCTGTATGAATTGCGAATACAAGCAAACCTGCTTCAGGTTTTCGAGAATCAATTACTCACTGGACTGAATATTAATTGTGCCCATTTATTAATTGAGTTTTGCTGCGAGTAATTGCACGAATTAATTGTCTTTAAATTTTTACCGCATGCCTTTAATACCTGAGCTTTGTAAGTTCTCACTATATAGCACAGTGCGCCTCGGAATGATACATGTTTTGAATATTGTCTTCTTAACAACAGCAGTAGTTTCAAATTATTTATTATTATTATTGTTCTACTAACTTTTATTCGAAAACTATAGCTTAGACGCTTTTATCTCCAGACATCCTTTCGTTCACGTTTACTATGAAGCGGTATGTGTTGTATATGTTGAACGAAATTCAAATTCGAAAAAATAATTTTTAAAACTGCAAAGCGGTTACCCGTTACAACGCTTTCAGGGAATGTACTGTGAGCTGTGGCTGTTCATTAATAAATTACATACATTCAAAAGCAACAACAACAAAAAAACAAATTTGCTGTATTGTTGATTGCCAAATTAAAGATTAAAGGAATTAATTTTGTGTGGAAGAATCTGGCATTGAATATTTAATGTCTAAATTTCTAGGCTGAAATTGGGAATGTTGCTATTTACGCCTCGGGATTGACGTTTTCAGAATGAAATTGAAGGATTGGTCTTGAAGTATAAAACTGTAACCCTGCTTCAAATACACAGTGTTTCCTTAATGTTTAAGAGTCGGATCGGCTATAACAGCCAACCACGGAGAGGTAGTCAAAATACAGATCCTTTGTCAAATGTACCAACCAACGTTACGGTTTACTCGTAGGCAAGGTTAGCTTTCTTTGGTAATTGTGTCCCCTTATGAGATATTGGACAAACGCCAATAGTGTTAACAGGGGAAAAAATACTACTCGCCCCAGATTAAATAGGCTCCCATTCATACATGTAACGATCATAATCTTCGGCAGCTCAAAGCACAGGTTCAGGGTTGATATGTTGGCATCCACGATGTTAAGGAAAGTTTTTAAATACTTACATGCGCGATGTGAACTGAGAATATTGAATCGTTGCTGCGACACCATGAGACTCTTAGGAATTCATTCGGCGTAGTCGCTAATACTGCTATTGGATGTCCATTTCCATAGTTGAAATCCTGCTTACAGAAGAATAGTATTGATCTGTTGCTGGATACTGCTGAGATTTTCCAAGTCGCCGTTACCTGTTAGAAGGTCATCTACGTATATGTCTACGCGAATTGAATGTGCCATCCTTCAAGAGCTTCCAAAATACTCGAGCTCTCAAGTATCAATTCGATTTTTCTTGATTGATGTAATGTTGGATCGACTAATTGGATTGTTTTCTTGAATATTCACGGGCATACATTGCCAATTCACCAATTTACCAACTCCGATCTACAAATTTGATAAAGACTGCACCTTATGTCATCGTAATCGGTCTATTCGTTTTCTAAATATGGCGTTAACGAACAGACGGACAGACACCGAAAAATTATAAACTCGTTAGGAGCTCGTTAATAATGGAATTTACATCCAGTTGCTAATGACGATCAACAGTAGCAACTCAAATACGCATATGAGTAATCTAAATGAAGATCTACACACAATTTCTAAGTGGGCAGCCGTGAACAACTTACATCTCAACTCCAACAAAACTGTTGTTATGGCCGTTGGCACCACGACAAATTTACATAAATTTCACATGTCAACATCTCAAAAAGTAGAAGTCGACGGAAACTGTATAGAGTTTGCCACATCCGCCAAAATCTTGGGACTGCATATTGATCAAAATCTGAACTGGGAAGTGCACGCCAACTATGTATGCACCAAATCGTATTACAAGTTAAAAACGCTATACAGATCTAAAAATCTTTTAAGCCAAAATATTAAACTCAATCTAGTTAAACAATTAGTTTTACCACTAATCACCTATGGAGATGTATGTTACCATGGTCTTAACGGGAAGCTATCTTACAAATTACAAAAGGTCCTAAACTATTGCTTACGTTATGCATGTGGCTTACATAAGTTTGATCGCATACAACCTATGCTACGCAGTCTAAATATGCTAGACATGAAGAAAACCCGTGTACATAACACACTTTGTCTGTTGCATAAAGTAATCAAAACAAACAGTGCACCATTATACCTACGTGACTTGTTCAAATCCCTACAAAGTTTTCACTCGTATAACACACGTACCAGTGACTTGTTTCTACCTAAAACGAACACTCAGATAGGCTCTACTTCATTTCAAGTGCTAGCCGCAAGCCTATGGAATACCTTACCGCCGAGCATTCGTGACATCACTGCCAGAAAACTTTTCATTCAGCAATGCCACAACTTCCTGATGAACGCTGTAGGCTAAAGTTAACTCATACCACTGCAATCAATGTATATATACTCTTTCTCTTTGATGTTATCTACTTATCTATATTCTTATGTACTTACTATTTAATGAACTTTAACTACATTTATATGATTAAGCTTGTAGAGGAGGGATAAATGGCCCTTGTGGCTTTTCCTTATCCTAAATAAAGATGATTATTATTATTATTATTTTCTTCCTCGTACGTGTGCGAAGGATTGAAAATACGAAAACTTCAACCCCTGCCGAAACCGTTGTTAACTACGCAAACAGTTGGTTTAAATATCCGGACAAACAATCAATTAACCGAAAGGGATGGTAAAACTAAACCTTGATTTATATAGGAAAAGTCTCGGAAATTTTTCAG